CCTGCCCCCCCCAGGCTCCCCTGCCTCAGGGGGATGGAGAACAGCCCCCGGTAAACGGCTGCTTCGAGGCATTAAGCCAGGACCTGAGCTCTGCACAATTTTTATAGTGAATGACTTCTCGAAGCGTTTCTCAGCAGGATTTCTAGCCAGGTCCTGGTTCAGAGAAGGGCTGGGAGGGGGGAAGGAATTGTGCTGGTACAAACGTGCATGTGATTTCATTATAAACCAGGCTCTTCCTTACCGCTGCACCGACCCGCTGCTGCCAGAGAGGCCCTGCGGCGAGCTGAGCGTGTCCCACACGAGGTGGCACGTGCCGACGTCGGAGGCAGTACCGCTCCGGGGCCCTCATGCATGGTAGGAGGAAGGTGGCCACGTAAAATCACAGCGGCTGGGTTTTCACTCCGAGAGAGGTCGGAAGGATCCTTGCGGCAGGCAGGCGTCGCTGATGCGCTCAGGGAAAGCCGAGGGCCCGGATGCGCGGACGCGCGTCTGCCCTTGCATCACCGGGAAAAGGGCAGGCTCGGATGGGTGGGAAAAAGAAAGCCTCCGATGTGGGAAAAGGGTCAAACATTGCAACAGCAGTAACATGGATTTAAGCCAAAGCAAACAAAAAAAAATATATCCCAAAGAAAGCAACCCCCAGCCTGCACTGGTGCAGTGCTGCTAGCAGAAGAAAGGGAGCCTTGCGCTGCCCACGGGCCCTGGGAGAGCTCGTCTGGAGCTGCGTCCACAGTAATCCTGGGGGCTGTGCTGAAGAAACATGAACTCGGACTGGCACGGGCACGAGGAGGGCTCTGAGGTTACTTGAGGAAACGCAAAACCCGTTGTACAGGGAGAGCACAGGGGGTGCTTGGTTTTTCCTACCCTAGAAGAAAAAAAAAAAAAGGAAGCTATCAGGTGATCTACTGTGGTCTATAAATACACCCAGGGAATGAGTAAACATCATGGAGAGAAAAAAATAGAGTGGAGCTGAAGAAAAGCACTGGCACAAAATCACATTTATATAAACGGGCCAGGAAGGATCTGAGGCGGGAGGTGGAGGCTCCCAACCGGCCGGCCAGGAGCGTGGCAGCAGGCTCCCGCAGGAGCCGCCA